TGATATCATATGATGCCACATGTAGGGCAAAACCACATAACATCCAGATATGTATAGATTGTTTTGGAATGTTTTGGAATGTTTTGGATTTGCATGGATTTGCTTTGATATGGTTGATAATGTTTGAATATGTTTGATATTGTTTTTCTTTTAGAATCTTTGATTATATCAGGCTCTATATAATGCCTTGATAGGTTTTGGGAAAGGCTTCTTTGCAGTGGTAATTGTTTGGACATTGGGATATGCATTTTATAGTGATCACATGTGATCACGGGTTTGTATGTGTTTAGAGATATTTAGAATTCTTTATGGCCTCCCAAAGAACAACTGAACTTCTATCAAATGATTTCAGGAGCTTCGCAACAGCAACTTTTGCTTTTTTGTTTGCTTGGCACCTTGACACCCCCATTTTTTAGAGAAGATATGCGTCACAACAGGTTCCGTGCTTGCGCTTCAAGAGCGTGGAGTGCATCCATGCAGCTTGTTGCAGCCTGTTCTGGAATACCGGCAGAGAAACTGGAGGCCCGCTACAGGCTGGAGGCAGAAGCAAATGACTTTAGTGACAACCTCTTCGATGAGAAGGATTTGCCGGTGCTTGAGGAGGATGTTGACGCGGTTGAGGCATGCGAGGCTGAGTTGTCAGAGGATAGAACTGAGACAGGATTCAAGAGCGTGCTGAAGGAAATCAACGAAGTCGCAGCCGCAGAGGCCAATGGTGAGCAGGAGGCCGCTGACATGCCTGACCCGGATTTGGGTCTTCCTGATGGAGAGCAGCTGATTGCGTTGACTTCGCTGGACGTGTCACAAGATGATCAAGAACCCGACAAGGCTTGCAAAACTATGCCTCTGAAGACGTTCCCTAAGACTCTTTCGGAAGCCATGTGCCATGACAGGATTTGACATGATTTGATAATAATGATATAAAGTTGGATAAAGTTGGCACGGGTTGGTACATGTATGAACATGTATGATCTTGTATGTACATGTAATGGAATTATGTGGATAGTTCCTTATTAATTACCATTATACCTTTTCATACGTATTCATACTATAAAATGAATTTCCAGTGCTTCCAAGGTTTTGCGGGTATTCTTCTATTTATGCAGTGCCCCCAAAGGCATTTTATATACAGTATGGTTTGGTGAGGTTTGGTGTGTTGCTCAGTGTTTTGATTTTCTATAGTATGGATTTCCAATGTGTTCCATGGTTCCCTTGTCTTCCTACATCTCTTCAATGCACCCATAGACATTTTATAGAAGCATAGTTAGTATATGTTAGTGTTATGTGGTGTTATGTGGTGTTTATTTTTGGAAACCATCCGAGGGCGCAAAAGGGTGACACCTTCAGCAACCTTTGGATGTTGACAGCCTTTTTACGCTGTGGAGAGCGTGGGCAAGATGCAGCATTCTTGCGTGGAGCAGAGAAGGTGAGAGCAAGATCCAGGAGCTACAATTGGCAACAGATTCTTAGTCTCTCACAGTCTTTTAAATTATCCTTTGACATGTTATGGGTTTAGAACGTTGGAGGTTGCTTGACAGATTTTGAAAGATGGTTTGTTCATCTTTGTCCATGTTTGTCCAAGGACGCTCGAACATGATCTCAAGCAAATGCGTCTACAGGCCAATGAAGATGGCATGCTGGCCGGTCAGAAGAACAGTCGGCTGAGCAAATGGATCACCTCTACCAGCGCGGCTCGTGAACACGCAGGTCTCCAGGATCCAGCAAAATTGAAGAGCCTTATCCTGTATGTTACTGATCGTATCTGATGCTACTCTAGAAATCTAATGAAATCTCTAGAACACATTAGAAATCATTAGACATATTATGACATATTTAGAATATGTATGAATATGTATGAATATATCAGAAATTAGAATATATTACAATATATTAGAATACTGGAATATAAATATCTATAAATTGGCCTGGTGCAGACATCTCCAGATTGTGCCATCACACTTCATATCAAAGTATCCTTTGCAGGACATTTTATAGATAATTTGCTTAAACTTCTATGAAATTAGTCCACGCTGACTGGATCTAACTAGGACCACTTCATGGCAAAGTATCCTTTGCAGGACATTTTATAGAGAATGTGCTTGAGCTTCTATGAAATGAGTTCACGCTGACTGGATCTAACTAGGACTTTGTATTGCCTCAGACTTCCCTCACTTCAGCATTTTATAGAAACACAACGGAACACATATGAACACACATATATACCTTCAACATCCTTCAGCCTATCTAGGCCTTTAGTCGGATCTGTTCACATCCAAGGACAGGGATGGTGGTTGCGCTACAGCCTTCACCTTCGGAAGAAGTCAGGCCTTTCATGATTCTTACGCTGTGGCCGCGCCAACAGAAGCCCAAGCCAACCATTCGTGAATTGGCTTTGGAAACCATCAAAGTCTTCAGGGCTGTTTTGTTGAAGGAACATGAAGCAGAGGACGGCAGCTGGCACTACACTCCTACGGACTTGTGCGAGCTCTACAGACCGCAGCACGTGTATGGTATCCTTGATGTTTTGAGTCACGACGTGTTCAAATCCAGGATTGAGCTCACACCAGAATCCACTGCAGCAATTCAGAGGCTGCAGGAATGGTGTGTACCAGATGGAAAGAAGAATGCAAGGCAGCGGAAAAAGAAGAGATCGCTTGATGAGCAGGTTGTGGCAGAGGCAGAGGAGATGATCCCACCAGATCCAACT